GCCCCTGCCGATCCCAGCAGCAGCAGCAGCAGCGGCGGCAGCTGCAGCGGCGGAGCAGGCTGCAATTGTGCCTTCTGCCGCTGCTCTGTCGCCTTCCGCCACCTGCAGCAGTAGAATGCACTCTAATCTTTTCCAGATGTGCTCGGTTACTTCCTCCTGCGCAGCAGACTCTTGGATGGGCAGCGCCTCGGCTACGCCTTCTCGAAGGACTCCCGCTTGCTCCTTCGCCACAGCAACAGCAGCGTTGTCTTCAGTAGCAGCAGCAGCTGCTGCGGGGCTGGGGCTGCCGGATGCTGCATCAACAGGACCAGCAGCACCTGCTAGCTGTGCAGACACAAAGCAAACAGATGCAGCTTCCTCTGGCTGTGCGGGGACACTTTGCCGAGGCACAGCAGGACCAGTTTCCCCGGATGCCTCCCCAGCAGCAGCAGCATCGGAAGCAGCACCAGAAACACCAGCAGTAGGAGCAGCAGACGATAAGTGCCGCGTGGCAAACCCGTCTATGGCCGCCGCCGCAACGGCCCGCCTTCTGCAGCGGCGGCTGGCGGGACTTCATCGAATTCTCGAGACATGTGCTGCTGTTGCTGCTGCTCCCACAGCAGCAGAAGTCTCTGCCTGTCTTGCTTCCCTCCCGTTCAGCCGAGGCCACTCAGCCGTCCCCAAATGGCCATGGGAGCAGAAACCTGCTACTGCTGATACTGCTATTGCTGCTGCAAGCGACAAACGACTGGACGAGGCAGGCGAGCAGCAGCAGCAGGAGCAGCAGGGCGAGCAGAAGGAGAAGCAGCTGCAGCAGCAGCAAGCGGGGATTATGGGGACCCGCACTCGTTTAAATTTCTTAGAAGACAGCAGCTGCTATTTGTGTTGGTGTTCCAATGCCTTCATAGGGGGGCGCGGCAGTATGAGCAGCAACAGCTGCTGCAGCGGCGGACGGAGCAGCAACTGCAACAGCAGCGGCCGTTCTTGCGCAGCGTTTTCTCCAGCAGGCGACGGGCTTAGTGGCAAGAGCTGGTCGTGCGCTACAGGCTGCCTCTCGCACCCAGGGGGGACGAGCAGCGCGTCGCCAGATAGCTGTTCCTGCAGCCGCAGGTTTGTCAGCAGCAGCACCAACAGCAGCAGCAGTCGCAATATGTGTTTCGGCAGCTCCAACTACTCAAGCTGCAAAAGCGCACCGCCGTTGTCCTTGAGAAGGAGAAGGTACAAAATAACTGCGAGAGCCCTAATTGACTCGATGGGCGGCGGCGTGCTGCGAAGGAATGAGAGCAGCAGCCCCTGCAGCAGCAAAGCCAGCAGCAGGAGAGAAAGCAGCAGCCCAACAGATGCGACTCTTCTCCCCAATGGGGGCGACATTTGGGTTCAGCAGGGCCCCCCCAGCTCATCGCCGCGCTCGTTAGTTTGCTCCCCTTTCGATGCTGTTGGTGCTGACGCTGGTGCTGCCGTTGCTGGTGCTGCTGCTGCGACTCCGGCCACCGCAGCGGCTCTCGCAGGAGCAACCGCTGCTGCCCTGACACTTGCGATGCAGGAAGCTGCTGCAGCAGGAAGAGGGGCGCAAACCGTGCGCCACGGCGAGCAACAACATCCACGCCAGAAGCAACATCAACAAGATCTGCAGCAGGACCTGCAGCAGGAGTTTCTGCAAGTGTCATTGGGGGAACTGGGTGAGACGCAGGTGCCGAGACAGAGGGAGCCGCATCTGCACATTCCGAGGCGTGTTGCGCTGGCGTTGCACTGGCTGCAGGCTTTGACTTTAGCAAGCGACCCCAGCAGCAGCAGCAGCTACAGTAGCAATGCTGCGGGGCTAGAAGGCGTGGGGTGTCTGGCTTCTATCTGGTCAGGGCACCCCGAACAGCAACTGCTGGAGCAGGAGGGGGATTTTATCTGTACGTTGGGGCAGCAGGAGCTGCATTTATTGCACTACACTGTTGCCGCAGAAGAGCTGCTGAGACGGCTCCGTGCAGCAACCCAGGGGCCGTTGCTGCGACGGCAGGCGCTTCTGGCGCTGGCTGTTGCTGCTCGAGGCAGCGCCCCGCCTTCGCCGTGCCCCAGTGTGGGGCAGCAACTGCTGCATCTGCCACATATGTGGGGTGATCCCTTTTCGAATCGCTGCAGCAACAACAATATTCAGAGTTGCAGCAGCAGCCGAGCAGACTTTGCTGCTGTTGGAGCAGGCGCAGAAGCGAGCTGCTGCTCCTGTAGAGGGGCTAGACCTCTCCCTGCGTGTTGCTGCCTCTGCCATTCAGCGTCTAACCCAAGGTACCTGCCTGGCTGCAGCAGCCATCAGACACTGGGGATGTTGCATGCAAGCTGCAGTAGTAGCAGCAGCAGACAGATATGCCAAACAGGGCACCTGCACTCATCGAGCGTCGGCGACGTGCGAACTCAGCAGCAGCAGCAACGGCAGCACCATTGGGGCGACAACCACAGCAGCTCCATGCGGTGTCTGAAGTCGAGCCCGTGCATACCCGAGCTGCAGGCCTGCAGCAACAGCAGCAGCAGCACCAGTGGCAGGCTGCGGGGACCTCGTAATGAGGCGGGGGAGGAGCTTCTCCGTGAGCGGCGGCTGCTGCAGCTGCTGTTTTTGTCCTTCGATAAGGACGGAGACGGGCTGCTCTCGTATCGCGATTTCGCTGACGGCATGCTCTCGCTGCTTCTGCTGTCTGCCATCTTGGGGCAGCTTGCGCTGCATCCAGAAGAAGATGCAGCACAAGAACAGGCGGCAGCAGCACTCGGCCTCGACACCCTGATGACCCAACAGCAGCACAACCAGCAAAACCAGCAACAAAACCTAGCACAAACGCAGCAGCAGAAGGAGCAAGACCAGCCGCTGGAGCAGGTACAGCATCAGCAGAAGCAGGCGAACGACCAGCCGCTGGAGCAGGTACAGCAGCAGCAGCACCAGGAGCAGCAACAAGAGGAAGATGTTTGGGTCTCATGGGTGTCTCGTTGGCTGGTCCTCCACTTCGAGCTACTGCTGCTGGGCGCAGAAATCGATGGAGACGGCAGCGGGGCGATCGAGCTGTCGGAGTTCCTCGCGGCCACTTTGGATTCCTCTCTTCTAGCAGCACAACCGTCTCTGCGCAAGTGTGTTGCTGCTGCTAGTGCTGTTGCGCTGCTGCTGCTGTTGCTACTGCGATTGCAGTTACCGCAGCAAATGCGCGGCGTTTAGCTGCTGTTCATTCTGTTGATGGCGCTGGTTCTTGGGGTTGTTGCTGCTGTTGATACACTTGCCTGTGTTTGGCAGATGCGGCTGCTGCTGCGACCTTGCATCAGTAGCTGCAACGTTAGAGCAGCAATTTTGTCTCTATTTGTCTCCTTTGCGTTCGTACAGAGCAGCGTTTAGAATGCTGGATCGTTCTGGAGATGGCGTGCTGGGGCTGGCTGATCTGAAAGCGTGCGTGAAGGAGAAGTGCCTCAGTCGAGAAGACTCCGAGGCACTCGGTAAGCAACGTCTCACGAAGCTGTTCTTGGGGGTGCTGCTGGTGCGGCAGCTGCTGCAGCTGCTAGGGGGTGGTGCACTATGCAGATTCTAGCGCTGCTTGTGCCCCCTTTTCCCCTTCCTTCCATATTGCCGCTGTGGCAGGTTTAAGTGCTACCGCCGTTGGTGCTGCTCCTGCCTGTTTTTTGCATGCAGATCTTCAGCTGCAGGCTATTCTCAGCGCTGGAGATGTGGATGGGGACGGGCGGGTGACCCTTCAGGTGAGGGTTGTTATGTTTAGGGTTTTGCAAGATTGTGAAAAGGCAATAAATGAATACTAAATGATCACACACACGTAATCGTGTTCGAGTTTGACCTTAAAGGATGTGCATACCCATCATCTAGGCGATGTCCACTGATGGTTGTTTGTTTGTCTTGGGTGTGAAATATTATTAGCGTGGCCCTTCGTCTTTATAAACCTTTTGAAGTATGCGTGTCCAAGGGCGTGCTCATCGTGCTTGTTCTTATGGCCTAGAGCCATCCCTGAGCATCAGTTCTTAGCTGGTTTGCCATGCGGGCCTGGGGTGCCGTGCGCTGCATTTGGTTTTGCTTCTTTTGTTCTCTTCCCGGTGTATATGTTTACCTTTTGTTTTGCTCTCGGTGTCCGTCGGTCTGCTTCCTGCTCCAGTAGTTTAGGTGCAAAGAGACCTCGAGCTTCTCTCCGTTTCTGCTTGCAGGACTTTGAGCAGTTCATCCAAGAGCAGTAACGCCAGGCCTTGCAGCGGTCAAGTTACAGTTACAGGAGAGCCGCAGAGACAACAAACGCACCAGCAGCAAAAGCAGCAGCAGCAACAACAGCTGCCACTGCTGCGTCACCTGGGCCAGCAGCAGCAAAGCAACTTCTCAGCTGCAGAGCTTAGTAGATATTTGTCACTTTGTGCTCCAGTGCTACTGCCAAGGAGACGTTTGCTGCTTCTGCAACGCATACATTTTCGGTGCTGCAGCGTCGACGCATGCAGCAACTTTCATTTCGTATCTGTATCCTGTCTGCCGAACCTATTCATTTCCCTTTGGTGCATAACTGCATTTTGCAGTAGTCGCAGCGGCCGCAGCGAAAGCAGGCTCCTGGGATGCAGCAGAAGCAGCAGGCTGCTATGCTGCATGCACAGCAGCAAACATGTACACGTCTATCAAGTAGCCCTTGATCAATATGTGCAGTTTAGAAGAAAACGGCGGTTGAGGCTGCGAAGTAGTGTCGCCATTTGTGCGCCACACCGACTGCAGCACTGCTGCGGAGTCTGCGTCTGCTGTCGCAGAAGGAAAAAGAGGCGCCGCAGCAAATATGCCGGCAGGAGCAGCAGCATTCTATATATTATATATAAACTAAACGGTTCGCTAGTTCATTCGGCCCAAACAGCCGGGGGCCCCACAGAGGCAGACGAGTTTGTCTCCTTCTGCTTCGATCCCGAATTGGTAGTCGTACGTGATTTCAGCGCCTGCGGGGACTTCTTCCTTTGCAATAATAAGGATGTGCTTCTGGCCCAACTCGCACACCACAACCCTGCAGGTGCAGTTCGGCTGCAGCAGAAGCAGGGACGGAAAGAACGGAACAGTCTGTGTAGGGGTAGGGTGTATGTACATTGGAAATATCAGCCACGAAGCGAGGCAACAATTTGGCGGCAGTTGAACATCCACGCGCAAGCGAACACTCAAAGGCTAGTCCATGCCCCGGGAAAAAGAAGACGGTTAAGGACAAACTTGATGCACAGATCAGTCCTTACAGAGACAACGCCACAATTATAGTAGCGAGTGCGACATAACGAGAATGGACAGAGAAGCAGCATCACCAACAACGCAGCAGCTTCTGCTCTTGCCGCTGCACTGAGATGAAAGGGGCATACCGCGCAGGAGTGATTGATGAATCGGGAGACGCTGCCCCTTCTAGTTGCGTCTACGACGAAGTTCTCGTCTAGACGGAACATGTAGCAGGAGCCATCTTCGTTACGCTCCATTTCATAGAGGGCCTCCAGCTTGTCGCTGACCACATTGCGAATCACCGTCCCCACGTACTCCACCACGGGCTGCATGCACCGGACAGCCCCACAGACACATGAAATACAACACACAATAGCAAGCTGACAACACACAGGTAGGAAAACGCAAGCATCCAAACATATATACAGACGCGCATATATATACTTGTATGCGAATACAGGCGCAAATATATGCATATATACGTAGAAAAATAAGCAAGGATATTAATACAATATGGTGGAGAAATGCACGACAGGCGCGCGCGAAGAAGACACACAAAAAAAAGACACCCAGCAGAAAAAGGATATAGACAGGCCCAACACGGGCGAAAACCGTGCATCCAAGTCTAACCTGTCCCGGAGAAAGCGGAATTAAAGTAAAGAGTCCCAGGCCGTGAATGCGTGACGGCATCACAGCTAGACGCTCCTGGACAAACACAAGTCACAACAGGAAGAGCACCATGGCACACAGCAGCAACAACGCTTGCAGCAACAACGTAGACCCAACAGAACACCTGCAACAATATAAGAGGCTTCAGGTCCAGTGGGGAGCCCTGGAACTGAAGCCTCTGCTGCTACGTCCCTGTTGCAGCGGGGGACACACAAAGTCCGCTCCGCCGCCTCGGACCTAGTGTAGCAGCAGCTACAGCAACACTAGCTGCAACAGGTGCGGCATCAGGGTGTTATATACCTCTTGATCCCCCGCTTGCAGCAATCTGTAAAGAGCAGCCGGCGACAGCGCCTCAAATCCCCTCTTTCCCTGTGCGCGCAAACGGCCTGAAGAGTGGCGAGAAGAGCCCGAGCCAATCGCTGCAAGGGCCGCTGCAGCATCAGCTGCGTCCGCCTGCAGCAGCAGCAGCAATAGCAGCAGCACCACTGCCCGAATCGATGCCCATGGAGTGAAGCAAGGAGTATAGGGGGCTTTTGCCCTTTTCATCGGCAGGCTCCCGCAAAACCTCGCTCGCAAGCAGCACCGGTAGATATTGTAACAGCAACAGCAGCAACAGAAGCAGCAGACACAGCAGCCGCTGACTCACCTTAGCCCTGGAGTGAACGCGAGTGAATAGCTCTTCGCCTTCAGCAGCATTAACGACGGCCGATGACTGCAGGTCGCGGGGCACGCAAAAGGCTTCTCCGCGCTTTGCTGCGATGGCGCTTCCTTCAGCCCAGGAAGTGCTGCTGCAGCTGCGCATCCACATACGCACCTTAAAGCCAAAATCCTAAACGCTAAACCTTAAATTCGATCCTGCAGAGACGCGCCTACATACCAGACCCCAAGAACTAAACACTAAACCCCATCACGTAACCCTCAAGCCCTGATGAACTCTAAACTGTAGAAAACGAGGAGGCAGCCGTGCACCCCAACCCACCACTTCTTCCGCTGTCTTGCTGCTGCTCGTTGCTGCAGTTGCTGTAGGGCTCGATCAGCTAACAGCTGAGCCACCATTTCCTGAAGGCGCTGCTGCACATAGCGGCATTTCAGCCCAAAGAAAACCTCTGCATCAATTGATGAGAAGTCTATCGGCTTTGAACGCTGCACATTCGCTTCATCTCCACACATTTCCTGCTGCTGCTGCTGCTCCTGCTGCGAGAGGCGCGAACTGGAAGGTGGATCAGGCCTAGCGACTGAATCAGTAACAACAGCTGCACAGGCTGCAGCTGACTCAGCAGTGTTTGTGCTGCTGCTGCTGCTGCCGTTGTTACTGCTGCTGATGTTGCTGTTGGCCCCCGTTTTAGAAGATGCCGGTTCGTCACCTGGCGATGAGGAGCCGGAGACAAGTTCGTCTTGCTGCTGCTGCTGCTGCTGAAGCAGCTCTAGCAGGGTCTGTACAACTTCTTGTAAATCGAATCCCTCTGCAACGCGCCAACCCCAACTGCAAGCAGCGCAAACATTTGTTGCTGCTGCTGCGTTTGTTGTTGCTGCTGAGGTTGTCGTTGCTGTTGCTGCTGCGCTACCAGCAGGCTTTGCAAGGCAGTCTAAAACAAAATAAGGGCGTCTCTTGTGTGCAGTAATACTGCACAAGTACGTCGCCCTCTGAAGATTGCGGGCGCCATTCTTGCTGCTGCTGCTGCTGCTGCAGGACGGGTGATGGACATGCGCCGGTGCCTCTGCGAGCCAGAAGCGGCGAGCCGCACAATAACCAACAGGGAATAAGCTGCTGCTGCTCCCGTCGAACAGCAGCGGTAACCCCAACGACAACAGCATGAGGCTTCCGTACCGAAGCAGCGCAGACGCAGTTGAAGCAAACAGCTGTTGCTCCTGCTGTTGGCGGAGGTCAGCTGCTGCACAGCCACGGGGGAGCAGGGAAGCAGCTGAACTGCGCCCGCCAACAAATGGCGACAGCTCAGGAGACAGAATAGACAAGCCCTCGAAGAGGGCTGCACGTGCGTCAGACATGAGCTGCTGCAGCAGAACTACTGCTTCAGCTGCAGCAGCTGCTGCAGAACCCTCGCTTCCTGCTTCTTCTTCTGCTGCAGCTGCTGCTGGAAGCTCTCTCAGTGCCACACCCAGAGGGTGTACGTCAACATCCGCCGCCGCTGCTGTTGCAGCAGCGGAAGCGGTTGCTGCACCATATGCAGGCGGCTTGATGCGCACGCTCTGTAGCAGCAGCCGCAGCACGACGGCAGCTGCTCCCCCCCCAACTCCTTCAAGAAAGACGAAAAGTGGGTCCTCTTCTGCTGCTTCCTCTAGAGTTGCTGCTGCTGGTGTTGCAATGGAGGTACACGCAGAAGCTCCTGGGTCATCAGAAACTCCCAGCGGAATAGAGTTAGTAGCAGCCGCAGCACGTCCCTTGTCGCAGCAGTTCTGACACCAAAACCGGCGGAGAGTTGCGAAGACTCGGGGTCGGGAAGCAATTGTGTTTGGCGTCTGCTGCTGCTGCTGCAGAGGTGCCTGCCCTGCTGCTGCCAGCAGCAAACATGTTAGGTGGTAGCGGGTATTGCAAGGGCTCCCTGCTGCTGTTCCCTGCTGTGAGCCGCTGCACACAACAAAGGCTCCACTGAGTCCGCATCCAGCACATTGGCTGGAGCGCGCAGCAGCAACAGCTTCAAGCAGCGCGTCTGCGGAGCACTCCAGGGGAGGCAGCTGCTCTGGTAGAGCCGCAAAAGGCCGAACGCGCCCCTTGAATCTGCTGTTGCTGTTGCTGAGTGCCTTGCGGTCCGCACCAGTCGATGCAGCCTCTATGTCACCAACCAACGGATACGGTCGATGGGCCTCCTGAGAGGGCTGATGCTGCTGCGGTTCGCCCAATGCACCAAAGGGGTCGGCCAGGTGCAGCATCTCTGGGGAGAGCAGAGGGAGCGCAGCACATGCATGTACAGCCCATGCGCAACAGCCAGCATGTACCCAAGCGTCCAACAACGGAAGTAGGGCCCCACAGATGACTCGATCTCCCTTCTGCCCGCACAGTAAGCAGCAGCGGTTGTCTCCTGCTGCAGCGCCGCATTCAAAGTCAACAGCAAACGGGCTCCTGCTGATGCACTTGGTGCAAAAGCAAATCCTCGGGTTTCCAGTGCGAAGCCGCAGGGCAAGCAGACGAACGAGAAGGGAAGGGACTGCTGCAGAATCGGCGCTCTGGCTGTTACGAATGCTGCTGCTGCTGCTGTTGGAGCGCTCCATGCTGCAGACTGCTCGGTGCAGCCTGCAGAAAAGCTGTCGCCGCACAAGGCGCAGCTCCCGCCATTCAGCTGCATAGGGCAAGCAGCCCTGCAAGGGCGCGCCAGGAGAAGGAGCACCAGCAACAGCGGGAGCAGCACCAGCTTCTGGAGACTGGCATCGTTCTGCTGCCAGTTTCTCGCAAGCCCGCGCCAAAGCCACTATAACCTGAGCCGCAACACATGGAGCATGGGGAGATGTTGCTGTTGCCGCTGCAGCAGATGCTACACCAACCTCATTCAACGAGCTGCTGCTGCAAGTGTTGATGATGGACGTAGTGCTGTTGATGTTGCTGCAGGGCATTCGCTGCCTTACCTGAGGGTCGCGCTGCTGCTCCTCTCTCTTAACGTGTGGCCGCCAGTGCAGCAAGGCCGACGAGACAAAACTAAACAACTCCGTAGGCAGACGGACGGAAGAATGCAACAGCGAGAACAAACCCAAGCAAAGTTTGCGATACTCGTCGTCCTGTTGCTGCTGCTTCTGTTGTTGCTGGGAGCCCGTTTCTTCCCACTGGACGGAACGCAGCAAATGAGCTGTGAGGTCGTTCACAGCTAGCCGCAGCTCCGCTTGCTCCAATTTTCGTCGGCTTGCTGTTGTTGTTGTTGTTGCTGCTGCTCCATCTGGGCATCTGGGCAGCCCCACAGATCTGCTGCCTTGTGAGGAGTCAATCACAGGCAGCAGCGTCTGCTGCAACAGAGCCTGTAGCTGCGAATACACCGCCGTTGCTGCTCGCGCACGCGACAGCAGCTGTTGCAGGCCACCATGCTGCTGCTGAAGAGGCAAAGTAGTGGCAGTCGAGCCAGCACCTACGGCTGCTGTTGTTCCTGTTGCTGGTGATGCTGTTGTTGTGCCTGCTGCTGCGACATCATCCGCAAGCGCCGAGCAGCTGACGCACAGCCCCTCGAGCCCATCCAGCACGAACACAGGGGGTCGTTTCCTGCTGCTGTTGCTGCTGATACTGCTGCGGAGACCCATCCTTCCTGCCCCGGTTGCAGCAGCAGGGAGACGTTTCGTTAGAGAGCCACAAAGAGCGCAGACTGTCACTACACCTCTGTAGTTGCTGCCTGCAGCGGCCCCGTCCCCTCCTGCTGGCTTGCAGGTGTTTGCTGCTGCTGCTGGCGTCGTCGTGGCTGTTCCTCCACTTGTTGTTGCTTCAGCCGTTTCTGCTGGTCCTGCATCTGGTGCTGCACCTGAGGCGTCTCTCAGCTGCTGCGGTTGCTGCTGCTGACGGACGACGCCTCTCGCAGACGGCAGCAGCAGCAGCTCCTGCTGCAGGGGCTGCAGCGCAGCACGCAGAGCCAAAGGAGACTTGACGTTCGTGCTGCTGCAGTCGCAGCAGAGCAGTGAAAGTCTTCCACACCGATACCAGGAGCAGCTTTCCACCCGCACCACCACTGGCTGCTGCTGCTGCTGCTGTTGATGCAGCAGCATTGTTCCAGCAGCTCCCTGGGAAGAGCCCAATGCGTCTGTCGCTACTCCCCACGGTCCACGCCGCAGCTGCAGCAGCCTCTGCTGCTGCTGTTGCTGCAAAGGCGACAAGCCGAGATTTCCGCCTCCTGCAGGTGTGGTTGCACGCGGCTGTAGGGAAACGTGCTGCAGCAACTGCTGCTGGAGCAGCTGCTGTTGCAGCAAGGGAGCGGATGCACTGATGCGCTGCTCCGGCTCCTGCAGCAGCTGCTGGTGCAGGAATGGCCGCGGCAGCAAATGGCACTGTATAGATGGTGAAGGAAGCTGGGGCTGCTTAACTTGCTGTTGCTGTTGCTGCTGCGAGGAGTTGGGGCCCCTGGAGTCAAAGCCATCGAATGCAAGAGCCGCAGCGTTTAGTTGCCGCGATGCTGCAGACATAGAACCTTGCTGCATTTGAAACAGCCGCTGCTGCTGCTGCGACGCCACGGTAACAGGCCGTGGCCCAGTGGCCGCAGCTGCAGCAACTGAAGCTGGAGCACCTGCAGCAGCACCTAATATGCGAAGCCCAGCCTGTCCCTGCAGCGCCTGGATAAGCTGCTCATTTCTTAGAATCAATGCCGACTGCCGCTGCAGCAGCTGCTGCTTCAGCACAGCTGTGTCCGCACTATACGGGGTACTACCAGTTGGAGCCGCCGCAGCCGCAGCCGCAGCAGCAGCTGCTGCACTGCCGTCGCCAAGCAGTGGAGAGACCGAGGGCCTCTGCTGCTGTTGTTGTTGCTGCTGAAAGGCTGCTGCCGGCCCACCCCATAGCAACGGCTGCTGGCGCGAATCCCCTTGCTGCAGCTGGCTGTACTGCTGCTGCTGCTGCTGCGAGGGAGGCTGTTGGCAATGGCAAGGGTCTGCTTGCATCTGCTGCTGCTGGTCCTCTTCTGCAACGTCGCTAGGCTCCACTGCATCCAAAGGCGTATGTGGATGCACACCAGAGGCGTCATCAGCAGCAGCACGAGCTGCTGCTGCTCCTCCTTGTGTGGCTGCACCTGCTGGCCTTTGTTCTGCCGCTTCGTCCCCCGGAGACGCAGTCCGTCCTGCTACATCAGGTGTTGCTGTTGTAGCTAGAGGGGCTGCTGCTGTAGTTGTTGAAAGAACACGACGACAAATGTCAAGAGACTGCGGTGCAGCCGCTGCTGCAGAGGGTGGTGGTGCTGATGCATCGGCTTGTATACCTGCAGAGGCTCCCTCAGTGGCAACTGTAGGGGCAGCAGCAACACGGGAGGCTGCTGTGTTGCTGCCAGCTCCAGCAGTTGGTGGAGTATCCCGCAGCTTCTCCAGTTGCAGCTGCCGCCACAGTTGCTGCTGCTGCAGCTGGAGTTGCTGCTGCTGCTGCTGCTGGAGCTGTTGCTCCTGGCGCAGCATCAGCTGGGGACTACCCGCAGCGGAATTACCCAAGCCACCTACCAAATTGGCGTCGATGGTATTTTGCTGCTGCTGCCCTTGCTGTTGCTGCTGCTGCTGCTGCTGCAGTGTCCGCATCTGTTGCAGCATATGCTGTTGCTGCTGCTGATATCCTTGCTGCTGTTGTGTCCGTTGCACAATTTGCTGTTGCTGGGTTTGCTGTTGCTGCAGCAGGGCCGTCCTAAGCATGGTCAAGGGCTTACCGGGTTCTTGCTGTTGCTGCTGTTGCTGTTGTTGTTGCTGTTGTTGCCTTGCAACACCCCCAAGGTGCTTCTGGAGGCTATCCATTCGCTCCTGCAAAAGCTGCTGCAAATGCTGTTGCCGCCGCTGCTGTTGCTGCTGTTGCTGTTGCAGCTGTTGCTGATTTTGCTGTTGTTTTACTTGTTGTTGCTGCTGCTGCTGCGTATTCTGCTGCAAAAGAAACTGCTCCTGCAGCTGTTGTTGGAGCTGTTGCTGCAGCTGCTGCTGCAGTTGCGACGAGACTTGCTGTTGCGGCGCGAGTTGCTGTTGCTGCGACTGCAGGAGGAAGTTGTGTGATTGCTGTTGCAAAAGAGATTCCTGCGGTTGCTGCTGGAGTAGCCGCTGCAACTGCTGACCAAACAGCTGTTGTTGCTGCGGCTGTGTAGCGGCAGCAGCCTCAGGGGCGAATTTCTGCTGCAAGGCCTGCGGGGCAGAAGCAGGGGCTGTTGCTGGAACAGGAATGGTAGGAGCAGCTGCTGCAGAAGCCCGTGGCGTCCGCTGATGCTGCTGCTGCAAGTGGCTCCTAGTTCCTTTGAAGTCTTTGCCGCCTTCCCAAATAGAAGTAACTCCTCTTTCTGTGCGCAGCTGCTCAGCCATCGGTTGCTGCAACGCCCAAGGTCCCTGCTGCTGCTCCGGCTGCAGCAGTCCGTGATGCTGCGGCTGTTGCTGCTGCATGGGGTCCTGCTTCGCCAGCACCTCCTCAACTCTGCAAAGACACCGACTGTGGGCTGCAGCACCACAATCGCTGCACAGACAGACATCAAGAATGCGATCAGCCGCAGCTCCAGTTCCTGTTCCTGCTTCTGCTTGGCCGCGGAGTCGGCGTCTGTGCATCTGCTGCTGATGCTGCTGCTCCTCAGGCAGCATCCCCGCTGCAGCAGCAGCTGCTCTATCTCGGATGTTGCGCGGGTCCCACAAGGACAGGCAAGGGGCCCCCTTTTCACAGGTAACACAAGAGAGACAGGCAGGGCACTCTGCAGCTGTCACCGGAAACTCTGCTTCGCTCCACCTGCTGTTGTTGCTGCTGCTGCTGCAGAGGGACAGCAGCACTTGCTGCTTCTTCACAAGCGCACCAGGGGGAGGTAAGCCCGTGCAAAAAGAGTGAAAGGCCTCGCCACAGCACCTGCAGTACAGAAGCAGTTGCTGGTAGCCGAATGAGCCGCATATGCTGCAGCAGTCGAGCCACAGCTCTGGTGCAGCTGCCTCTGCAACAGCTGCTCCAGCAGCAGCAGCAGCAGCAAAGAGCGGCTCCTCTGCTGACACTCCATATAAGCGATGAAAGGCCTGCAGGTAGGACACTGCATCGGCTGCTGCTGCAAAGACAGCGACGCAAGACGGCATCCGTCCTGTATGCACCTGCAAGGTTGCCGCAACAGCAGCAGCAGCAGCTGCTGCTGTTGCTGCTCCCCCTCCCGCTGCAGTAGCGCCAACAATTGCTGTTCCGCTCGCCAGAGATCCTGAAGCAACTGAACGCTTCGGGGGTTGCAACAGAACCTGCTGTTGCTGCACGTCGAAGTCCTTCTTTCGTTTCTTCCTCTGTGTTGCTGCACTACGCCTTGCCTCCAGGCTTGTTGACTGGGTTTGTTGCTGCTGCTGCTGCTGGAGCTGCTCCTGCTGCCGCGGGTCTGGAACTTGTGTTGCTGTTTCCCCGCTCAGGTGTACGGGTAGCTGCAGCACGTACAACGACTGCCCCTTCGGGGGAGGTGGAGCTTGCGGAAGAGACATAAATGTTCGCGGCAGCAGCAACCCGTGCAAGCTATCATCATTGTTGTTGTTGCTGCTGTTGAAGCACCACTGCAGGGCAGGAGGAGGTAGGAGACAAGGTAGAGCAGCAAGGGGGGCGAGAGGGAAGCCGCAAGGGAAGTGCGGCTTCTGGCTGCGCAGAAGATGCCGCATGCCCTTGACAGCAGCGGCAGACTTGAGCTGCAGCAGCTGCTGCGTTGTCAGTGCTGTCGCTACTGCACCTGCTAGGGCACCAGCAGCAGCACTCCCTGCTCCCCCGGCAGAAGCATTGTTACTGCTCCTCGCAAATCCTTTTGCGCTGCCACGTCGCAGCCCGGAGGATGGTTTGGCCTGGGGGGCAGCTGCCGATTCAGTTCCATTTGCTGCTGCTGCAGCGGTTGCTGCTGCTGCAGGCGTTGCTGCAGCGGTTGCAGGATAGTTTGTTTCGGCGTGTTGAATCTCTTGCTTTGCGCTGCTGTGTTCCTCCACAGGGGGTAACCTGCCGCTGTCTGCAGTCAACTTGCCGCTACTGCTGCTGCTGCAAATGCTGCTGCTGCTGCAGGGGGGAGGCTCTGGGTGGGCATCAAGAAGGGCAAGCGGTTCTTTGTGGGGGAGCTCTAAGACACCGGCAAGAAGCTCGTTAGCCTTCCGTTGCATTGCAGCAGCAGCTTTATATTGTCTTGTATTTGGCATATAAAGTGTTTTAACATTTTGAATTAAGAGAGCAATATCACCTAAGAAGGCCCCCAAAGAGCTGTATCCGCTCCCGCTGCTGCTGTTGCTGCTGCCACTGCTATTGCTGTTGCCGCCGCTGCGGAGCTTCTGAGCAACCATGGATAAACACATTGGCCGTTGCACTACCCGCCAGTAGAGGGAGAAAGAAGCTGCTGGCAAGAAGGAGAAATCTCCTGTTCGATCTTGCGCCATCAATTCCGCAACAATCCTCTCGTATCGTTGTCGACGAGACGGAGACCGACAAGATGGACACCTGGCAGCAACAGCAACAACAGCAGCAACAGAAGCAACCGTTGGCAACCGCAATGGAAGAAGGGAGGAGGGAAGGCAGCACACATATGAAGAAACGAGAAAAGAGGAAAGTTCCTCGAGCTCAACATAATGAGGTCTTAAAAGTTATATAACCCCCGCAAACAACCAGCAGCACCAATAACAGCAGCAGCAACAACAGTGACAGCAGCAGACCTGTATTTGATATTTTTGAGCTGCTGTGGGTCTTGTAGCCCCTTGGCAAGTCGGGGATCGCATCGGGTGTGGATCCATGCCTTACAGCCGCCGCACTGTACCCACGTCTCGACTGCAGCAGCGGCGCTGCTGCTTCCACCTCCGCTGCTGCTGCTCGAGGGATCGTCTCCTCCAGCGCCGTCTGCCACCCATGTCTTTGAGCACATAAAACAAAACTGACCCTCATCTACGCTGCGCCGACACCTGCATCCACCCCACACATACACAACACCCTTTATGCAGAGTAAAGTTCTTGTTGCTGCTGCTGTTGCTCCCTGCTGCTGCTGCTGCTGCGGTTGCTGCTAATGCTGATCTTTCTGCTACTCCTCCTCAGAAGCTCGTAGCTTGGGCGCAGCAATCCGCTTCCTCCCCAAAGCATCTCCCATCTTAAACGAAAAGCCCTTGGCTACAAGCCGATAATCCTAAACCCTAAACCATAAACCTTGCTAAACCCTAGAACCCTATGCCCTTAGACCATAAACCCTGTTGGGTGTACATACTGGGCGCAGAGGAGGAAGGAGGTGGGATCCCAGTTAGCATACTCTGGCCAATAGAGATCGACATAACCGCAGCTGGTGCAGCGCCTGCACGAGTCGCAGCGGTAGGAGGAGCCCAGCAGGACGGGTGCCTGCAGCAGCAGCAACACAGGAGCACAATAGCAACAGTAACGTATGAGGTGCAGGAAGCGGCACTAGAAGCAGCACGCATGCGCAGCACAGTGCCTGGCGAATCCGGATCCGCGCTGCCTCCAGAGAATGAGGGAGAGGAACACTCTATACCAGCAACTACAAAGACAAAAGCAACAAACACTGCAGCAACCGCAGCAGCACCAACAGCAGCAGCAACTTTGCGTACACTTGGATAGCAGCAGGCTCCATGGGCGTAAGAATTGCAGCAGTGGCAATTGAGGACTTGTTGGAAAGCAGCTTCATGCTGTGTGGTGTTAGCAGCAGTGCCTGGTGCTGCTCTGTTTGCTGCTGCTGCTGCAGCAACAGCAGCAGGACTTCTTTCGGTTGTTAGAGGAAGATCAATGGGCTCGCAGCAATAAAGACAATGAGCACAGTCTCTACACACCCAAGGTGTACGTACACCCCGATCGTTGCGGCCTCCTTCCTCGAGCCCTAAGATCATGCGGGGGTTAGGGACAAGTTGTACCCTTAGCTGCTGCCTCCTTGGTTTCTCCATACCATCATCATCGGACCCCTGCTGCTGCTGCTGCTGCTGCTGCTGCTGTTTTTGTTGCTGTGGTTGATGCTCGTCTCGGTTCGGTTCGGGTCCCTGCGGAGCCTGCTCTCGATCCCGCTCCTCCTGCGGCTGCTGGTGCTGTTCCTCCTGCTGCTCACCTTCTTGCTGCGGGTCTTGCTGGTGGTTGGAGTCGTCGGGTTGCTGTTGCTCCTGCTGCTTCTCTTCTTGTTGCTGCAGTTGCTGTTCCGATTGCTGTGGCTGCCGTTCAGATTGTTCCTGCATCTCTGGTTCTTGCTCCTGTTCTTGTTGTTGCGGCTGCTGTTCTTGTTGCTGCAGCTGCTGTGTGTCTGCCAGCTCGTTATCCACTAGCATGCCCTCTTCTTCATTGTTTATCGAGGGTGATTGTTTGGGTGTCTCTTGCTGCTTCTTTTCGTCATGCTGTTGTTCCTTATCTACCTGCATGTCCTCATTCGGCACCACCTCCTGTTGCACCTGCTGCTGCTGTTTCTGCTGCACCTTCTGCTGCTGCTGCTGCTGCTGCTGCTTCTGTTTGACGTTGACTAGTACTGGTGGTGCAGGTGTATCTTGTATACCCTGCATTTCTTCTCCTGGATGCCTTGATAGTCTCCAATGTAGTGTTCCTTGTCTTGTTAGCAGGGCAGACAGAGCTCTAGAGAAGGCAAGGGGCATTGTACAGAAACGGCTAAGAGAAAAAGATCTTCTTAATGTCTTTGCTTCTTGCTGCTTACGAAATCCCTGCAGCAAACCTGCTCGTGCTGCAGCAGATAAACCCATTGGTAAAGATACTGTACGAGCAGGTACCATAAATGTACTCAAAAAACATTTGCGCGAACGATCGTAGACAACGCTGCTAGGAGATAATGGCCAGCCGCTCCCTGCAACAAACATACAGACACAGAGACACGCATGAATGCATGCATGGATGCGTGCATTGTTGCTGTTGCTGGTCAGCCTGCCACACTGCATAGAGAATCACACAACAGGCAGCGGCAGAATAGCAGCAGCAAGTCGTGAAACAGCAGCAGCAGCTGGGCATTCTACCTGCATCGTCTGCGCCTTCTTCCGACTGTTGCTGCAGCAGCAATGACCCCATAGCCCCGCCCTCTTCAAGCGAGTCTTGAAGCTGCTGCTGCTGCTGTTCTGCTGCCTGGGAAGGGACAGCCTCATAGCGGTAGTACTTGCTTTCTCTGTTGCTGCTGTTACTGCTGCTGCTGCGCCTGCTGCTGCCTTCTGCTGCTGCCTCTCTCTCCTTTTTGTGCCGTTCGATAGCCGTCTCCCTCTCTGCAACTAGTTTGCGGTGACGAGCTGCCTCCATGCACAACGCGTGGGGAGACATCCTGTGCAGCAGCACCAGCAACAGCAACACAGAAATGCGCATGCACAAAGCGGCAAGAGAAAAGGCGAATTGCTTCTGCACCGAAAGAAAAGAACAAAAACCAGCAGCAGCAAACGATGCAACTAGCAGCAGCAACAGAAGAGGCAACCAGCAGCTGCTGCCTTCGACAGCCAACCGGCACTACAACATTCCTCCTATCTAACCCTAGACCCTAGAAACCCTAGTAAACCCTAGACCCTTGACCCACCCTCCAGTGGCAATCCTTCTGTGGGCAGGTCGAACGCATGCAGCATGAAAGACACGATTGCAGCAGCAGCACCTCAATCCCCAGTAGAGGTGTGCAGCAGCAGATTCTCCACAACCATCAGACCATAGAGAAGACCCAGACACGCTACTGCTGCTGCTGCTCATGCTGTTGTCGTTGGTACTGTTGGCATTACTGGTTGCTGATGTGGGCGCTTGAGACAAGTCTCCTGCTACTGCTGCTTCTGCTGCTGCTGCTGCAGCACGTGCAGCAGCTGTCGGCTGCACCCAAGAAGGATAGCTAGCAAGCAGCTCCGAAGGGACAATCTCCGACGGCGCCTCTACTGGCTGCCCAGGAGTCATGATGTAGTAGACTGGTTTGCTGCAGCTTCGGCACCGTGTGCTGCACTTGGTGCTCCTGCTGCTATTGTTATTGTTGTTGTTGCTGCTGCTGCTGTCAGTGGGGCTGTTACTCTTAGTATCTTTATCTTGCGGGTGTGTCTGTGGTGCAGCTGCATCTGTAGTTCCCTCTTGTGTATGTTCAGTTGTTGTTTGTGCAGCATCGCTTTGCTTCTGCTGCTGCTGCTGTTGTTGTTGTTTAGGTGCATGTGTCTTATCCTTTTGTTGCTGCATCGGTAGGGGGAAGTCTGGTCTTGTCCATACAGGTTGTGATGATACAAGACGAATAATATCATTGTTAAGAGAGTACCATCCTCTATGTGTCTCCTCAGGAGATAAAGGTAAATCGTCTCCTTTTAGATATATAGATGGTGCATCTATAAGAGAACAAATTTCTTTTTTATTCTTATTTAATAAAAAATGAATAAAAATACACCGAAATTTCGGCAAATAAAATTTTATTATTCCTTCGCCCCAATCGTATGTCTCTAAACTTTGACGATCCTTCCAGCCCCGTACGACACGGACACGGCAGCCTATATACGCAAATACTGCAGCAGCAGCAGCAGCAACAACAACAACAACAACAACAACAGCAGCAGCAGCAGCAACAACAAGAAGAAGAAAACAGCATTAGGAGAAGGGAAAGAGGGAAAGGTATAATAAGAATTAAACAATTGAGATTGTACAGCAAATGGCTACTCGCATGAATTCAACAGGAAACAGCGACAGCAAGAAGAAGCAGCTGCTGCTGCTGCAGCAAATGTAGCTGGCAGCAGAGAAGAGGAACAGAAGGACACTTGTTGTCATATATATATAGCCAGCTACAGCTAGCTATAGCTAGCTACAGCTAGCTACAGAGGCACCTAGTCCTCACCTTGTCTGTCCTCTCTGAATTCAAGCTTCTGCCCGTAGGCAGCAAATGGATCCTCCGGTACCTCCTTCTCTTTTGCTGCTGTTGCTGTACCTGCTGGCTTCGCAGCAGCAGGCTTAGCTGGCCGCTGCGCTGGTTGCTGCCGCTGTTGTTGCTGCTGCTGCTGTTGCTGCTGCTGCTGCTGAGGTTCCGCTGGCTCCTGCAGCTGCTTCAACATAGTTCGAGTCAAGCGAATGCCAGCAGCAGCAAGCAGTGACTCGAGGCCTTCCCCTTCCGATGCACCAGCTGCTGCTGCAGCTGCTGCAGCACACGCAGACGCAGCAAACACATGAGCAACAAATACAGCAGCAAATAAAGAACAGCAAAAACAAAACCCACAAGCGCTGTATAGAAATGAGTGACAGCAGCTGCAATAGCCGCAACAGCAACAGCAACTGCAGCAGCAACTGCAGCAACGTTAGCATAACAACAGCGTCAGCAAATGCAGCAGCAATGCCATCTGCAACACAAACTAAGGTAATAAAGCCTAGGGTTTAGGGTTTAGGGTTTATGCGTTACTCGTGTCTTGAGACCCTTTCGCAGAGGGTGCAGATTCTGCTGCATCGGTTGCTGCAGATTCTGTAGGCGCAGCAGCAGCAGCAGCAGCAGTTGTTGCTGCTGCTGCTGCAGGTGATTCGGGGCATGCTTCCGGCGATCCCTCAGGTGCTGCTGCTCCTTCTGCTGCTGCATCTTCTGCTGCTGGTGCTGCTGATGCCTTGCCACGTGCTGCTGCCGCCGGCTTTGCTCCGTTCTGTTGCTTCTCCGTCTGAGCCTCTGCTGCTGCTGCTTCAGCTGCTGTTGCTGCTGTTGCTGCTGCTGCTTTCGAGGTAGACGCTCGCCCGCTCCCTGACGTCTCTCCCTCTGCCGATGACGGCTGCTGCTTCTGCTGCTGCTCCTTCTGCTGCTGCTGTTTCCCCTGCTGCTTCTGTTGCTGCTGATGCTTCTGTTCTTTTTTCTGTGGCACCTCAGCACTCTTCGTCTGGTTGCTGCGACTTGCTGACGCACTGTTGCTGCTGCTGCTGCTGCTGCTACTGCTGCTGCTGCTGCTGCTACTACTACTACTACTGCTGCTGCTGCGTGCTGCACTCCTACGCGGCTCTAAAGGCTGGTAGTTCTCCTGCAGCAGACCCCAAAGCTCGCGAGACACACGAATTTCTCCAGACTTGCTGCTTTTTTTCTTGCTGCTGCTGCTGCTGCTGGCTTTGGCTGCTGCTGCTGCCTTCTGACTCTTCCCCTTCTTTCCTGACACCGATTCCTCGGCATGCCGCTCATCCTGTTGTTGCTGCTGCTGCTTTTGCTGCTGCTGCTCTTCTCCGGCCTCCTCTCTCCCCTCAGCTTCTTGCTGTGCGGACGGCCGTTCCTGCTTCTGCACTTCTTCCTGCACCTCTTGCTGCTCTTGTTGCTGCACCTCTGGTTGCTCCTTTCGCTGCTTCTCTTGCTTTTCCTTCTGCTGTTCCTTCTGCTGTTCCTGGTGCTGCTGCTGCTGTTCCTCCTTCTGCTGTTCCTGGTGCTGTTGCTGCTGTTCCTCCTCCTGCTGTTGCTGCTGCTTCTGCTCCGCCTGTTCATCTGCGGCACCCTGCTCCTCTGTGTCATCCTGATCTTGCTCAATCGGTACATCTTCCTCTTTTGCCAGCATCTGCTGCTGCTGCTGCTGCTGCTGTTGCTGCTCCTCCTGCTTCTGCTTGCTTGTATCCTCCGAACAACTGTCACAAGTTGGGGGGTTCACTGCATCGTCTGCCTCTGCAGCAGCAGCAGCAGCAGGAGAAGCAGTAGCAGCAGGAGCGTCCCAACTACCAACATCTTCGCTGCGCTTAATTTCCCTCTCTGCTGCTGTGGAGTCCACTTCAGCTGCTGCTGCTGCTGCTGCTGCTGTGTCTGCTGATGCATCTACTGCTGCTTGCGCTGCTGCTGCGTCTGCTGCTGTGTCTTCTGACGCATCCGCAACATCGTCCTGTTGTGTGTCATCGCCAGCAGCTTCTGCTGCTTCTTCTGCTGCATCACCTACAGCTGTTTCTGCTGCTGCTGCCTCTACTGCTCCTCCTCCTTCGGCCCCGCCAGCCTCCCTCTCTTCGGCTAAACTGCCGCATGGCTGTTCCTCGGTAGCGGTTCGCTTGACTCCCTGCTGCTCAGCAGCAGCAGCAGCAGCAGGTGCTGCTGCTGCTTCTGCTGCTGCTGCAGCATCTTTGTGGCTGTGAGGGGAATCCACTGCTTTGGTGGGACTACTTTTACGATTATCTCCCGCTGCTGCTGCAGCATCCGGAGCAGCAGCAGCAGCAGCAGCAGCAGAATCTTTGTCACGTTGCTGCTTAGTAGCCGACAGCTTCGTAGCTCCCGGCGTTGCTGCCTTCCCTCTTCCTGCTGCTGCTGCTGCTGTTGTTGCTGCTGCTGCAGCACTTCTTCCAGCTGCTGCAGTCGGTTGTGAATCTGCTGCGGGACTCAACGAGCGTCTCTTGGGCCTCGCCTCGCTGTCTCTTCCTCGGCTATCTCGCTGGTGCTTCTGCCGCTGCTGCTGCTGCTGCTGCTGCTGCTGCTGCTGCTGCGGCTTGTTAGGGGGCGTGTCTGTGAATAGGTGCATGTCTTCAACGGGTGTCCCTGCTGCTGCAAGCGCTTGTCTTTGCTGCAACAGGACTTTTTTATACTCCATAAGTGCTGCATCTGCTGCTGCAGCACCACCGCAGCCGCGCTGCACTGCAGCAGCAACAGCAGCACGGCCCCACGCCTCCAGCTTCTGCAGCTCTGCTTCCCTGCAGTCCCCCCAAGGGTTATCAGGATCAGCAGCAGGAAGGGACAGATCCGCTCTCTCCGCAAGGGAACGGATCTCTGCTGCTGCTGCTGCACCCCACACTCGTGCTGTCTCCTCAGGATCCTCTGCTGCTGCTGCTGCTGCTGCTGTTGCTGCTGGCGAGGCTGTGGATCCTGCACCGCAGAGGCTACCAGGTGCAGCAGCAGCAGGACCTCGAACAGATGACTGGCCTGAAAGCGGGGACTGCACTGGGTGCTGCTGCCACTGCTGCTGCTGCAGCACTTGCGGTCTTTGCTGCTCCTGCTGCTGCATGCAATCACGAGGAGGGCGTGTGGCTGACCTCCAGCTACTACTCTCCCACGGCGAAGCTGAATCAGCAGCAGCAGCAGCAGCAGCAGCAGCTGATGCTGCTGTAAATTCTGCTGCTCTGCTGCTGCTACTGCTGCTGCTGCTGTAGTCTGCTGCTGCTGCTGTTGTTGTGCGGCCATCTGAGGGAGGGCCAGATTGCCACGAGGGCCCCCAACGGCCCCCAGCAGCAGACGACGACGTCAAGGGGGGCCCCCCTGTATCCCAATGCCTTCTAGGCCTAGCAGCATTGCTGCTGCTGCTGCTGCTGCTGTTATTATTATTATTATTGCGGCTTCTGCTGCTGCCGCAGCGGCCCCTGCTGTTGCTGCGCCGGCGGCTTGGGCTGCGACTGCGGCGACCCCTGCTGCTGCTGCGGCTTCTCCTTTTGCTGCTGCTGCTGCCTCTCCATTGGCTTCCACTGTATATACTGCTGCTGCTACCATGCTGCTGCTGCTGCTGCTGTTGCAGGGGTTGGTAAGGGGAGGACTGCAATGCTGCTGCTGCCTCAGGTCCTACATCAAAGCCCCTCCTGTACGGCACACTGCGGCTGCTGCTGCTGCTGCTGCTGCTGCTGCTACTTGGAGTCTGACAGCCCCACCCGCTGATTCGACCTCCATGGCTGCTGCTGCTGGTGCTCTCATGTCTCCTGCTGCTTGCATCCCTGCTGCTGCTGCTGCTGTAGCTGCTGCTGCCGTAACTGCTGCTGCTGTAGCTGCTTCTACTGTAGCTGTTGTTGCTGCTGTAGCTGCTGCTGCTGCTGCTATAGCTGCTGCTGCTGCTTCTGTGACTGCTGTTGCTGTGCCATGCAGCACCAGCCTCCTCCTTAGCCCCACACTCTATACTGACGGGTTGTTGCTGCTGCTGCGGCGGCGGCTGCTGCGGCTGCTGCAGTTGAGGGGGCCTCTGGTCCCATCGACTGCGTTTCTTTGGTGCCGCTGCTCCATCTGTTGTTGCTGCTGCAGTTGTTGCAGCAGTTGCAGCTGCAGCAGCAGCTGCATCCGGCGCACTGTGCTGGGGGCCCCCCTGAGAGGGGGCCCCCGGGTTATCTTCCGTTGCCATAAAGACTAAAGAGGGTAGTTTAACCGACAGCCCTCTCCTTAAGAAAGGGGAGGCGTCTCTTTGACAGTTTGCTGCTGCTGCTGCTGCATCGATTGCAGCAGCAGCAGCGGCAGCAGCAGCAGCAGCAGGGCTTGCTGCAGCGGCTGCTGCAGGTGCTGATGCAGCAGCGCCTTCGGCGCCAGTCAGCCGCTGCTCCTATACTAAGAAGCCACAGGGATCATCCTGGGGTTGATGCGGAGTTAGCTGCTGCTGCTGCGGCTGCGGCTGCTGCTGCTGCTGCTCTTGCTGCTGCTGCTGCCGAGGGAGGGAGGCTCGGACTCGCGGGCTTGCTGCTGCTGTACCCTCTGCTGCTTAGCAGCTAATTATAAAAATAAACTAATGATAATAAATTGCATAACCAGCGGCGCAGCATGCAGCAGCAGCAAGATGAGGCCCCCCGCATGCAGCCACCACACGACAGCAGCAGACGCAGCAGGAGCTGCTACTGTTGCAACTGCAGCAGCAGCACGTTCATGCTCCTGCTGCACTGTCTATGTCCAACTCTCTATATTTTCTTGCCTTAAATGCTCATAACAAGACTTGCTTGATTTCTGTTTAACGCATACAACGCGGTGCAGCAGCAACAAGAGCAGCAGCTGTTGCAGTACGCCAGTGCAGCAGCAGCAGCAGCAGCAATTGCTGCAGTGACCTCTAATAAGCACAATTATTAGACGATTAAGCACATAACAGCAGCAAGATAATAAATCCATTAGAGGCATCAGGTGTCTTCTAGTAACAACAGCAACACAGCAGCAGCACACCTGCAGCAGCAACACAGCAATACACCAGCAGCAGCAACCCACCAGCAGCAACAACAGCAACGCAGCAGCAGTATTCTCTACGGCACAACCAATAGTCAACCGTGACCAGGGAGGGACGCTGGCGCCCTGTCGGCTGCAGCAGCAGCAGCTGCTGCTGCTCCTGCAGTCTTGCCCATCGCAGCAGGAAGAAGGATTGACGCCCTAGCAGCAGCAGCGGCAACAGCAGCAGCAGCGGCGGGAATTGACACCTGCAGAAGGGGAAGCAGCAGCTGCCTCGTGCAGCTAGCTGATGGACACGCAGCGTGCTGCTAGGCGCTCAGCCCCAACGCCCTTGCTGCTGCTGCTACTGCTGCTGTACGGCTGCTGCTGCTGCTGGTCGCGCCCCGAATCCACTTACTCAAATCCCTCACTCTCCTTCTTGCGTCCCTGCCCCGTTTCAGCAGCCGTAGCTCCAGCAGCAGCAGCAGCAGCAGCAACACCAGCAGCAGCAACAACAACAGCAGCAGCTGCCGCAACAACAGGCGCAGCAGCAGCAACAGCAGCAGGAGAGAACGGTCTGCTGCAACGGGGTTGTCTTGCAGCAAAAAGAAAGCCATCAACAGCAGCAAGAGCGCTGCCCTCCTATGCTCCTCTGGTAGCTCAGCTGCAGCAGCATCTGCAGCAAGAAGGCGCAGGAGCAGCAGCAGCAGCAAGTAGTACAGCTGAGGTGCTGCGCCTTGAGGATGTGTCTGTACACTCCGGTGCTGCTGTGCTGCTGCAGCAGGTGTCTCTGCAGCTGCAGCAGAACGAGAAGATTGCTCTTATAGGCAGCAACGGGGCAGGGAAGACAACCTTGCTGCATGCAGTTGTTGCTGCAGCACGGCAGCAGCTGGTGAAACAACAACAGCAGCAGCAACAACAGCAGCAACAGCAACAGCAGCAACAGCAGCAACAGCAACAGCATGGGGAGGAATCGCAGCAGCACGGGCAACGGAGGCGCCTTAGCAAGGCAGAACGTAGGCAGCTACGGCGTCTCTCCCCTCAGCAGCAGCAGCAGCTGAAGCAGCAGCAAAAGCAGCAACAGCAGGAGGAGGTGGAGCAGCAGCACGAACAGCAGCAGCAGCAGCAGCAGCAGCAGCAGGAGTTGACCTCTTTCTCTATGAGGACAGGGGACGTCTCTGGTCGTTTTATCTTTCGCTGCTGCCCCTCTCGTGTTGCGCTGCTGCAGCAGGAAGGCCTTGAGGGTTTATCTGCTGCTGCTGCTGCTAAGACTGTAAGAGAAGAAATCTTTACCCATGTGCAGCAGCGGCAGCAGCAGCTGCAGCAGCAGATCGAGCAGCAGCAAGAGCTGTTAAACAAGCTCCTACAAGGGCAGCATGACAGCAGCAGCAGCAGCAACAGCAGCAACAGCAACAGCAGCAGGGATGCGCACGAGTCTGCGGTGATGGCTGCAGCATCGCAGCTGTCTTTGCTGCAGCAGCAACAGCAGCAGCAAGAAGAGGAGGAGAGGTGGGTAGAGACTGTGCTGCATCATGTAGGGCTGCAGCAGCAGCAGCAGCAGCAGCTATTCTCTCTTAGCGGGGGCCAGCGCATGCAGCTGCTGCTAGCAAAGGCCTTATGCGAGAGGCCGCAGCTGCTGCTGCTAGATGAGCCTACTAACCATCTAGATGCTGCTGCTGCTGCTGCACTGCAGCAGCTGCTGCAGCAGCTACCTCTACCTATGATTATTGCTTCTCATGACAGCAACCTGCTGCAGCAAGTCTGCAGCAGCGTGCTGCTGCTGCAGCAAGGCAGCTCGTCTCCTAAGTATGTAGGGAAGCTAGCAGCATTTAAGCAGCAGCAGCAGCAGCAGCAGCAGCAGTGGTTAGCTTCTGTACGTCGGCAGCAGCAGCAATTGCAGCAACTGCAGCAGAAGCTGCAGAGACAGAGGGGGCCCCCAACTGCAGCAGACGAGACGCTGCTGCAGCAGCTCAAGCAGCAGCAGCCAGCCCCACACCCTGCTGCTAGGGCCCCTGTCTTCTTGCTGCCGCATGCACAGCAGAGAGCAGCAGAAGTTCTTGCTCTTAGAGGATGCACTATCTGCATCAGACCTCTGCGGCAGCAGCAACAACAACAACAGCAGCAGCAGGAACAGCAACAGCAGCAGCAGCAGCAGCAGCAGCAGCAGCAGCAGCAGCAGCAGGAAGTGCTGAGGGATGTAACTCTTATTGTACGTAGGGGGGCAAAGATAGCAATAGTAGGGCCTAATGGTAGTGGTAAGACAACCCTATTAAAGGCACTAGCAGGAGAGCAGCAGCAGCAGCAGCAGCAGCAGCAGCAACAGCAACAGCAGCAGCAGCAGCAGCAGCAGCAGCAGCAGGAAGTGGTGATAGTAAGCGGAGAGCGTATATGCGCACCATCTGTTGATTCTTCGCTGCTGCTGCTGCAGCAGCATCATGCAGATGTGCTGCCTCTGCAGCTAACACCAATAGAAGCACTCCGTGCTGCTGCTGTTGCTGCTGCTGCTCGTGGTCAACAATCAGCAGCAGCAGCAGCAGCAGCATGGGAAGAAGATACAGCAGCAATGGAGGCACAAGCAAGAGCTGTATTAGGTAGAGTAGGTCTTAGGGGGCCCCTGTTGGGGGCCCCCCTGCAACAACTTAGTGGGGGACAAAAGGCATGCTATAGTATTAGCAGCAGCTTGCTGCAGCTAGGAGACACGGGAGTTTTGCTGCTAGACGAGCCTACTAATCATTTAGATGCTGCTGCTGCTGCTGCACTTGCTGCTGCTGTTAAGTCCTATAAGGGGACAGTTCTTGTTGCTACTCATGATGCACAGTTTGCTGCTGCTGCTGCTGATGAGGTTATACAGATAGATCCCTGCAGCAAGACACTTAAAGTTCTTGCTGCAGCAGATGTCCCTGCTGCTGCTGCAGCAGCAGCTGCTGCTGCTGCTTTTTCTGATGCTCCTGATTATGCAGAAGGAGCAGCTGCTGCTGCTGCTGCTCCTGCTGCTGCAGTTGACCGCTGGAGGACCCATTGGACCACCTCTTTTGCTGCTGCATACACTAAAGAGCAATCGAAGAGCAGCAGCAAGAGCAGCAACAGCAGCAGCAAGAGCAGCAGCAGCAGCAGCAGCAGCGACGAGAGCCGCAAGAGACGGTTTGGAGGCAGCGGTGTCTCCTGTGGTAGAATAAAAGGAGTTAAGAATGCAAGAAGATGGATGTAAGTGTCCGTACCTCTGCAGCAGCAGCAGCAGCTGCTGCTGCTGCTGCTGCTGCTCCTGTTGCTGATGGTTGCTTCTCCCTTCTGTCTCTTTTCTGTTTGTCTCCTTTCTGTCTCTTTTGTCTACTTGTCTTCTCTATGCTCTTGCTGCTAATGCAGCGGTTCTATTATTGCTGCTGCTGCTGCACAGACTGCAGCAGCAGCAGCAGCAGCAGCAGCAGCAGCAGCAAATGCTGCAGTACCGAAGTAACCCTTTTTTTTTTCTCTTTTTACACCGCCATTAAATTAAATATATTTATATTTATTTATAATTAAATACATTTATTTATATTTATTTATATATTTAATTATATTAATAAATAAAAGGAGACAAATAAATAATATTTATTTATATTAAGAGACGAAAGGAGACACTTAGGAGGAGACAGTTCCTCATCTAGCTGTTTCTTTTGCTGTTGCTGCTGCTGCTGCTGCTGCTGCTGCTGCTGCTGCTAGTGCTGCTGCTGCTGCTGTATTTATCTATACGGGTGTCTGCTGCTGTCTTATGCAGTAAAAACAATTAAAGGGTGTCTCTGTTGTACCTTAATGGGGCCCCCAATTGAATGGGGGCCCCCCTGTGCCAATAAAGTAATAAAGGTAATAGGGGCCTCCCTAGAGGAAGTAGGGGCCCCCTAGGGTCCCCTGCCTTCTCTAGGCAGGGGCCCCCCTAGGAAAGGTAGGGGCCCCCTATAGCAAAGAAAGGGGCTCCCTATTGCATAGGCAGGGGCCCCCTAAGGGCCCCCTCTAGGGGAGGCTGGGGGGGGGCCCCTCTTGGTACGGAGGGGGGCCCCCTTAAATATATAAGAGAGAATGCATACAAAGGGGTCTCTTTTTATTAAATATTATTAATAAATATTACTATTAAACATTGTTATTAATTAATTAATTAATTAATTAATTAATTAATTAATTATTATTAATAATAATTATTAATAATAATTATTATTATTAATAATTAATATTAGTAGTAAATATAACAAAAATTATTATAAACAAATAAATTAATTAACAATTAATTATTAATTATATACAATTATTTATTTATAATTATTATTATTTATTAATTATTAATTATTAATTATAATTAATAATTAATATTATTATTTATAATATAATCTACAAGGAGAGGGGCCCCGTAAACAAAATCAAGGAATGCCAGTGGGTACACCTTCACAGGGGGCCCCCTTAATACCCTAGGGGGCCCCATTAATACCCTAGGGGCCCCCCTAAGACCCAAGGGGGCCCTTGAAGGCCTGTGGACTCCCCTGTAGACCCAGGGGCCCCCCTGGAGATAGATGGGGCCCCCTAAAGATCTAGGGCCCCCCTTAAATAGGTAGGGGTCCCCACAAAGAGGTAGGGGGCCCCCCTTAAACAGGAAGGGGCCCCCATGAAGAGGTAGGGGGCCCCCCGTTGGGGGCCCCCTAGATGGATACAACAGGGTCCGAACCTAATGCATGCCCTGTAAATAGATGAGGAGAGACAACTTGTAGTCCCCAGTATACTAAGCCAATAGTACGCTTATAGGATTTGCTGCTGCAGCTGCTGCAGGATGACGTCTACACAGGAGACAGAACAATTAGGAGACAAGAAGTAAGCAGGTTGCTGCGGAGGGACATAGAGGGTGTCTCCAAGTCGGCAGCAGCCGTTCTGCTGCTGCTGCTGCTGCTGCTGCAGTTGCTGCAGTTGTTGCAGTATTTGTTGCTGCTGCTGCTGCAGGAATGTGCAGCAGCAAACTCCTGCTGCAGGTGCAGCAAGAAATGCTTTTATTAATATATCCATCAATAGCCCGTGCCCTACAAGCAGCAGCGCGCCGTCTCCTTTTAGTGCTGCTGCTGCTGCTGCTGTTGCTGCTGCATCACCTGTAAGTGCTGCTGCTGCTGCACCTTCTCCCCCCTCTGCTGCTGCTGCTGCATGCGCTGTTATACTATCCATCCATCTTATTAGCAGCAGCAGTCTCCTTATTGTACCCATTATTGTCTCCCTAGGGCCCAACCACCAGGGGGCCCCCCCTAAGAAATTCTCCCTGCTGTACCCTCCCCCAAGGGGGCCCCCCAATGCTGCTGCTGCTGCTGCTGCTGTTGAAGCGTTGGTGCTGCTGTTACTGTTGCCGTTGCTGCAGCAACAATTATTGCCATCGGTGCTATTTGCTGCTGCTCCTGCTGCTGCTGCTGCACCTTCTCCTGCTGCTGCTCCTGCTGCTGCTGCTCCTGGTGCAGCAGGCCATGTTATACCACTAGCTAGTACAGCTCCTGGGCATATTTGCTGCAGCTGCTGCCAGGTGAGTCCTAGCTGCTTCTGCTGCAGTTGCTGCAGTTGCTGCTGCTGTTCTTTCTGGAGTCTAGCATCAGCACCACCTGCTGCTGCTGCTGCTGCTGCAGCAGCAGCAGCAGCAGCAGTATCTGTTGCCTCCCTCTCCCCCTCAAATAGGCCGCCAGCCTCAAAGAGAAGAGGATGAATAATTATTGGTATATTTAGCTGCTGCTGCACCTCCTTAGCTGTCTGTACACTCCGTAGCATAGGGGAAGCAATTATTGCTGCTATACGTGGATTGGCTCCATGCTGCTGCTG